AAAAATAAATTCTGTAATCATTTTAAGTTCCACTAAGCCACAGAGAATGCTGGTGCTGAACTTCCTGAAGTGGATTTACAACAATTAAATATATTTAATCCACAAACATATGCAAACAATACTGTCCTGATTAAAAAGATAAATACTCTCTAAACGAAATATGAAACAAAATACAACATATAATTTAAAAATTAAGTAAGTCTATAACAGGTGCCTGGTTATACTGCAAGAAGTTCAAACACCTGTGAGCAAGTTGTGCTAATCGTTTGTGCATTTCCTCAATAAATGTGGGTGTTCTGGCCGCCTGGCCACAGTGACACAGGACGTTTCAGCATCATTCCAAGCCATTTGTTGATTTATTCTCAGATATAAAAAACAAACTTTATTTTTCAAAGAACTGGAAGAAAATTCACAAAGAAACAATGGCAACAACAGTCTGTCCAGCAACAGAAAAGTGTGGGGGTGAGAAGAGCCACGTCTATGTGCTGGCGTTGTCACTATGTCACCAGAGGCAAATCTCAACGCTTCACCCCAGGCCCCTTTTCTGTAAAACAGCTGTCTATGGAATATATACCATCCCATTGGGGTATCTGGAGTTACTGGTAACCTGTTGAGGGTTAGGGTCGAGACATGAGAACCCCAGGACTGGGACAGGACTTTGCCAAAGAGCAACCTGTGGACCTGTCAGTTCACTGAGCAGAAGCTGCTCAACCTTGAGGGGGACATTCCACCGGTCAGGGGTGTCTGCAAACAGACCCCGCCTTAAAGCCTGAGGGCCACAGCCTGGACGTCTGCAAACAGACCCAGCTTGTAATCCGAAGGTGGAGAGAATGATCAAAGGACGTCAGCCCAGGAGATAAGAGCAGTTTGCTATTCTAAGCCTTAGGCACTGTTCCTATCTCTCTCCTGAGTTCATGTCTCAGTAAATAAGGAACTAGATAAAGTAGAAAGAAGTACATGGTCTCTTTGTTCCCGTTTAGATTATATGCTTTACTGCTAATTCACGAGCTTTTCACGTGAAATCATTGTAATCTATAGCATGAAAAAAAGAATAAAAATGGGTGCTAGACTTCAGTCATCATCACCTGGCTCAAGGGAGTGCTGGTGTCCCCTGACCTCCCCACATCCTTTCACCTCACTTTTTGTGTTCGTATCTTTGTCTCTCCCATCTCTTGTAACACACACTAACCGGGGACCTGGTTATATTGGGGGCATCGCGAACCCCTGATAGTAACCTACCACATCAGGATAGCTTCACGTCCCTATGCCTGTGGCAAGCATGTTCATACCAATGTCATCGTCCTTATCCAGATAGACTGTCAGTGCCCCCAATTAAGGAACAAAGAGCCTTAAACATACAACCGTATGCCAGGTGCAAAGCTAACTACTGCAGAAGGAGAGAGGAAGAGGCACACACACAGCGGCTGAGGGACACAGCCAGAAAGGCAGAAAGAGGGAAAAACAGAAAGCGAGGAAGGGAAGGAGTTAGTTAGTAAGCATCAAAAATTCCAAGATAGGAAAAAGTCATTCTCTGAGATTTTGGAAATGATAATAAATACATATTATAGGGTGTATGTATATATAAATAAACTAAAATATATATATATATACACACACACATATCTTTTAGTTATCCCTAACTCCACATAATTCATAAGCTGTAATACAGTGAATGCTTTTCATACTGCTTTAGAAATTAAAAAAATATCTTTCTCACAGATCCCAGTGCTTTCATGAATGTGGTTTTATAGTATTAAATAAAATGTATACTTTAATTATTTCTATATTTCAAGTAGGAAAACGGCCCATTTGTGTACTTTACACAATCATAATCTCTAGGAGAAACTATATTTTCAATTATCTTCCTATCAATAACAGAAGTATTTAAGAGTCTCAGGCTGAAAATTTAATTACAGTATCATAAGTTTATTTTTTGATTTTTACTGACTTTCCTATAATTCAGTGTGTAAATGGATCTCCAGTGGGGTTTGTAAGTGTGATGTACACAAACGTGCATATAGAGAGACAATCAAATGGTTTTATATACAAAGTGTCCACTTATTTAGCTGTTATTAATCACATAATCTTTCCCCTTCTAAAAGTTAAAAAGTATATGTCCAATGTTGCTAGAAACTAGTCAAGGATCATCCTTGTCTTTTGTTATAGTGATGCCATTCTTTTTCCTATGGAAATTTGAATTTTAAAAAATTAAACCAAGCAATATGACACAGACATGTGTATTTTATGTATACATAATTTTTAAAGGCATTTAGGTAAATATGAATCCAACTTAAGTAAATATCCATGAAGTAAATAAAGTGATGAATATTAAGTAGAACTACCTTTAGATACATGAAAAAATGAGACAGATAGGCAGAGAGCTAGCTATAGATATGTTTACATACAAAAGAAAACATTTGAAAGCTTACCAGCAATATTGAGTCATTAAGATGTAAAAGCTTTTAAGTACACCTTTAAATTTCAAAAATCTCAACTGCCCCCCTGAAAACTTAATAAGAAAACTAACCATTACAATAAAATTGAAAAAAAAATAGTATGCTAGAATTTTGCTTTGCAAATCTTATATAAAGGGAGAGGAAACCCTTCTCTCAGGAGAAATTTGAACAAAATTCAAAGTGAGGATGGTTAGTGGTGGCAAAAATATAGATAGATGGAATGAACAACACAACAAAGTGACTATACTCAACTTAGTTGGGGCATGCGTTAAAATAACTAAAACAGTGGAGTCGGAATGTTCCTAACACAAGGCAATGATAAATGCCTGAGGTGATGGACACCCCAATTACCCTGATGTGATTAATTCACTCTGCATGCGTGCGTCAAAACACCACATGTGCCTTACAAAGACATACAACTATTATGTACCCATAGTAACTAAAAATTATAAAATAAAAGAAATTTGAACAAAATCCATCAGGTGGAACAAGAAATTAAATGCCACCACCCATACTGGATTATGAACTTCCTAGCTATCAACCAACTCACTTTTTCTTGCTTGCAATTGAGTCCTTATCTGTTGAACAAAAGGGTTTTACACCAGGAGCCAATGAGCACATCTTAAAGTTTTGTGAATGAATTAGCTAGCTCTCTCCTGCACCCTGAAGGGAGTTTCCTGCACTGACACCAGAAGTCATAATAAACTTAATTAATATAAGAACTCCTCAATAATTTGATATATAAATAAGCTTTAAACAATCATCTATGTAAAATTTCAATGATTAATATACCTATTATATCCTTGATTTTCTGAAAAAGTTATTAGAATAGCAGCCAATTTTATAGTTATTTTACCATCTATAACCTTAAATATCTAGAAAAATATCTTCAAAAGTGAATTCTACCAGTAAGTATTGGGTAAAAGGTTTCCTTGGACAAATAATTTGGGAAAAGCTATGTTAAGCAAAATAAAACATATTTCTTTGATGTAGGATATTTCAAAGATTGTGAGTATATAGGAGGTGCTTAGAGTCTGCAATATTTCTAATTTAGAACAGAGCATCTGCTCTTTCTTGAACCATTAAGGCATAGTGTTCCCTTGGAACATTCTTATTAAGTCCTTTCATTAATCTTTTTTTCACAACTTTATTTAGTAGCAAAACATACAATAGCTCACTTGCAACATGATTAGGACATTTTTTTGCAACACAGTTATAAATTCCTACTGATAAAATTTTAATTCATATACCATTAATGACGGTACCTGCAAGAAAAGATCATCAGGATCTAATTCTGAAGGTTAAATAAAGGATGTTCTTTTTATTTTGGCAAAGAAACTCAGCATTTGACTATGAAATCATACAACTACTTAATAACTACCAAACAGTCATTGTGTTTTGCTCTTTTACTCATTAAATTAAAAGAAGTAAAGCATACGATCTCGTTGTGCTTCAAATTCGATTCCTAGCAACTTGTTTTGATTGTAGCAAAGGGTGTTCAGAGTTCTCCCCACCCTCGCTTTATGACTACCGATTTGGGCCTGTCACGGCGCTCACCGGCAGGGAGAGAGCCCAGCGAACCGCTGAGCGGCTTACGCATCTGGAAGAGCACAGTCAAGAACGATCGCGCGTCTGTGTCTGCGCGGTGCAATACCTGGACATCTATACAGCTTTCTTGCCTGTGCAATGTCTCCTTTGCTCAAACGGGTCCGCTGGCCGATCGCCGGGCGTATGCCGTTATCGTCGCGGGAGGGGAGGATGGTGTCCAGAAACATCCCCCTGAAAAAAACAGAAGCAAACCTCACCCAGTCACTACATTAAAACTCACATGCTCCCTATGAATACAAGGTTACTGTTTTCAAACTCGAGTCAATTAAAGGGGAAATATGCCAGTGTGAGCTTCGAGCAATGTGTCAGGCTTTCAAAACACTTCCATCAAATTAGAAAAAAAAATGTGCATGTTAAATGTGTGCCTGACAAAGCCAATGATGACACTCACTTTTTCCTTAGAAATGTAAATTATATGTTTTAAAAAACAAGGAACACTTTATACTCCCCGACAAAGTACACCGTGATTTTTATCTTGTTCTACCAAGCAGATCTAAGGATCCCTTGATTACCAGGTTGTAAAACAATTATCCCTCCTAGAGGTCTATTTTATTACCAACAACCTATAATAAATAATTTTGAGGTTACTAAAATTGTAAGAATCAAATGAAATACACGTAAGTCAATTTTCCGAGTTAAACTGCTAATTTAACCTAAGTATTCTTAGAAGTCCAAGTATCACAGCATATGTTGCAAGAACAAAGAAAAACGGAGTGCCAAAATTTAGACAGAAGAGTGTACAGCAAAAAATGTTTTATTAAATATATATTTTTAATGTCAAAATCAATAAACAAAAAACCTAATCAATGTCCCAATACTTCTAAGCTATAAATATGGAGTTGTTTTAGACTCAAGATTGTGGTAGAAGACTCGCTAATTTTTCCTCTTAATAATGTGCATGATCTAAAATTCTGAATAGAGTGTACTAAAGAGATACACCAATTTCGCGATGTATAGCAAACATTTATGGCTCTAAGTACTGAGCTTCAGAGTTAAACGGACTGGGAGGCTATCCCAAGAGGTTGTGAAGTGTGGAGCATGTAAACGTAGCTTTTCAAAAAAAGAAAAAACAAAAGGAGCTTTTTATAAAAATAGTTTAAATTAAGAAATGAAATTGAAAAATATCTTTTAAGTTCAGACGAATGATGGAGCATCCCTTTCCAAAATGTATAACTAAATATGTTGCATTGAAACTGCAGATCCTGAGTTTAAGGCACTACACGTACTCGCCATCGAACTGGTACTAACGATCAACACCAAGGTGCTCACACGGCAGTAATACTCACTGGGTGCCAGTCAGCTAGGGGAGGTGGGGGGGTGGGGAATAGAGCAGGTGGGGTGGGTAAACCCACAGCTAATGGAGACGGGGCGCACTGTATGGGGGAAGGACACACTTGTGGCCCTGGCTTGAGGGAGGCAAATGCATTTCCTGTAACCAAAATGTTTGCACCCCCATAATATCCTGAATAAAAAGAAAAAAAGAAACTACAGATCAAAAAGAACAGCACTCTCAGCTCCACTTGCTCTTTCCATCCAGAAACGTTTGCTACGCGCTGTTCTAGTGACAGCAGCAAATAAAACAACAGAAATCCCTCCCTCTGCGATTCTAACATCCTGCTGCGGGGAGAAAGACATCAGACTAGAGACTGACAACCCGGGTAGTGACAGGTGATATGGAGGAAGGTAAAGGCAGGAAGATGGGTATCTGACTGTGCAGTCATGGGTAGTCTTATAATAGAGAGATCAAAGAAAAACGCACTCAGAAGTTGACATTTTAGTCAAACCCGAAGGAACTGAAGCTGAGAGAAACAAGGGCAGCTGAAGTACAGAGCTACCAGACAGAAAGGACAAGAAATAAAGTAGCTTGGAGACGAGAGGACCCCTAACATGCTTGAGCACCAGCCAGAGAATCTGACCTCCCCCGGAGCACAACTGCTAATCTGCAGGAAAACGGCAAACTGACGAGTGACGTGATCCATGAGTGGTGTCAGACTCCCCTGCTTCTTGGGGAGGGAAAGGATGGTGGTCTCGAGGTGCCACCAACGCAGACAGGGAGACCAGAGCTCATCTAAGCATCTACAGAGCTCCTTACCTGCGCCGCCTGAGATGAGGGCAGAGAAGATGAATTTGCACATATTTAACAAGATGCAACGTCAGGCAGGCCAATGCAATTGAAAGGGAAACTGAGTCACGAGGTAGCATTGAGAAAAGCCACTCCTCAACAATGCTGCATGAATCAACAGAAGCATTAAGTAGGTAAACTCAAATTAATTATTGCATTTCTGTAGTACTTCAGTACTAACAAAATATTCACTATTTACTATTTCTATTTCTAAAAACAAATGTGTGGCATATGAGAAGTTTCATTTTTTTATAGCTTCCAAAAGAGAGTCAACTTAAAAAGGTCAATGACATCTTGGAGTGGATGTATTCAATTCCAGACAACAGAATGATGAATTTTCTTTCACTCTTTCTACTAAGGTAGCCTCTCTTCCATTCCAAGGGAGTCAGTCACTCCTTCTTTTCTTCTTTCTTTGTGGTCGGGAAGTTAATAATCCTCTTCCCCAACATCCTGGAAAGGCCCTACAGACCTCCTCAGAGGGGCACTAAGGGACAGCGACAAAACATACTATGGTTCACTTACTAATCTCTATCCTGCATGTGTTTTAACTATGTTTAAAGAAGCAAACTAGCTATGCTTTTTAAGAAAATTTGTAAAATTTTACAGCTTTTTTTTTAATAAAAAGTGAGCAGCCCTCAGTTCAAAGGGATCTACTTTACAAAATATTCATGTCTATAAAGTCCCCGTAGATCCAGCCCTATTCTTCCCAGAAGTGATTCCCTAAATATACTGATGGCTTACAGTCATGAAAACAATTGGAATTTTTAGACTCTGTGGGTTCAGAATAATAAAAACTAAAAAAAACCTTAAACTACTTACATCAACAGAATGAAGGACAAAAACCATACAATCATCTCAGTCGAAACAGAAAAAGCACCTGACAGATTCAACATCCTCTCACGATAAACACTCAGCAAACTAGGAACAGAAGGAAACTGCGTCGACGTAATAAAGACTGTATGAAAACCCCACAGCTAACATCACACTCAATGCTGAAAAACTGGAACATTTTCTTCTAAGATCAAAAGCAAGGTGAGGATGTCCACTCCACTTACATTCAACATAGCACCGAAGTGCTGGCCAGAGCAATCAGTTAAGAAAAAGAAATAAAAGGCATCTAAATTGGAAAGGAACAAGTAAAACTGTCTCTGTTCATAGGTGACTTGATCTTATGCACAGAAAACCCTAAAGATGCCACACACACACAAACTCTGTTAGAGCCAGTAAGTGAATTCAGCAAAGTTGTAGGATATAAAATCAACATGTAAAACTCAGTTGCATTTCTATGCATTTACAACAAACAATTTAAAAAGGAAATTAATGCCACTCAAGACAGCATCAAAAAGAAAATAATATGTGGAATAAAGCAGGTGAAAAACTTATAAACTGAAAACTAAAAAACATTACTGAAAGAAATCAGACATAAACAGAAAGATTTCTTATTCATGGATTGAAAGACTCACTATTGTTAACATGTTAAAACTATCCAAAGTGATTTACAGATTGAATGCAATCCCTATCAAAATAGCAGCAGCATTTTTTGCAGAAACAGAAATATTTATCCTACAAATTATATCTAATCTCAAGAGATAACAAATAGCCAAACAATTTTGAAAAAGAAGAACAAAGTTGGAAAATCCACACTCCAACTTTGGAGGACTGATTTCAAAACACATTGCAAAGCTACAGTAATAAAAACTGTGGTACTGGCATAGAGACAGACCTACAGACCAGTAAAATAAAACAGAGAGGACAGGAAAACTTTCTTTGACAAGGGTGCCAAGAGCCCTCAATGAGGAAAGGACAGTCTTTCAACAAAAGATGCTGGGAAAATGGATATCCACATGCAAAAGAATAAACTTGAATGCTTTTCTTACAACATGGAAAAAAATTAACTGAAAATGGATTAAATATCTAAACATAAGACCAAAAACTATAACACTCCTAGAATAAAACATAAATGAAAAGCTTCATGGCATTGAATGTGATCATGAATTCTTGGATATGGCACCAAAAGCCTAGATAATGAAACCAAAAACAGACAAACAGGATGACTTTGAAGATAAAAACTTTGTGTGCATCAAAGGACACAACAGAGTGGAAAAGCAACCTATGGAAAGGGAGAAAGATCTGCAAATTATATATCAGATAAGTGGTTAATCAGCAAAATACAGAATTTCTACAACTCAAGAACAAAAAAAAAAATCAAATAACTTAATTAAAAGATGGGCACAGGACTCAAATAAGCATTTCTGCAAAGATGATACGGAAATGTCCACTGAGCATATGAAAAGATGATCGCTAATCATGAGAGAAATATAAATCAAAACCACAGTGAGAGACCACCTCACACCCAGGAGGATGGCTACTATCAAAACAACAGAAAATAACAAGATGGTAAGGATGTGGAGAAACTGGAACTCTCATGCATTCCCTGTGGAACTCTAAAATGGTGTACCCACTATGGAAAAGAGCATGGAGGTTCTTTAAAAAATTAAAAATAGAACTGCCATATGACCCAGCAATCCCACTGCAGGGTGGACGTCCAGAAGAACTGAAGCGCGTCTCTGAGAGGTATTTGCACAGCGTGTTCAGAGCAGCATTATTCACAACAGCTGGGCAGTGGAAGCAACCCAGATATCCATCGGCAGGCGAAGGGATAAACAAAGGTGGTGTACGCAAACAATGAAATATTATTCAGCTTTAATAAGTGCTAAGTGGAATGAGTCAGTCACTACATAACAAATACTGCATGATTCCAATTACATGAAACATCTCAAATTCATGGACAAAGAAAGTAGAACGGTTGCCAGGGGCTGGAGGAAGTGGGGAGAGGGGAAGTTGTTATTTGTTGGGTACAGAATTCCAGTTTTGCAAGATGAAAAAGTTCTGGAGATATGTTTCACAATAACGTCCATATACTTAACACTACTGAACTACGCACTTAAAAATAATTAAGATGGTGAGTTTTATGGTATATGTTTTTTCCACAATTAACAAAAAGAAACTTCAAGAACTTTGGGAGGAGGGGATGAGAATTGTGCCAAAAGTTTCATTTCCTGAATGCAATCATTTAAATATAAGTTAAAAAGAAAAAAAAACAGCTTCTTTAAAGACGCAAGAATTTTTTTAGAAATCTGAACTAGAGAAATCAGACTACTATGTATGATCACCTGTGCTGCAGAAATGTAAATTTATTTATGAAAAATGAATAGAATAGTTTTGAACAATAAGACAGAATAATAAGTCAAGACTGGCCAGCATGCAGCACAAAGGCAGGTGTCAGGAGACAGACAAAGTCTCAGCAGCAAGACCAGCTTGGTTTATGGGGAAATAAGCAATTTAACACATAAAAGAGTATTGAATAAGGAGAAACAGATGTTTAAAACTTTAGTAAAGATTTATCACCTACAAAGGACAGAAAGAATAAATTTTCCAGGGCCTCCTCTGTCCCAAAGAATCAGAACTCGGGTTAGTTCTAAATGGTGTAATTCAGCAGCGTGAGAGGCGCTGGCGGAGCAGGAGCCCAAACCTCATTTGTTGCATGTTTTCGTGGAAAACTCGATTCCATGCATTGACCTCAAAATAAAATTTCATAACTCTTTATGATTAATTTCAGGCCAAATTTATGGGTGTATTTCTGCTGAAACTTAAATTCAATTATAGGGACAATAAGCATTAGGATAGCTACTGTATATGAACACATACACATATATATAATATACTTTAGAAGAGAATAATTTTTTAAATACAGTAAATGCTGAAATTTTCTAATAAAAAAGTTTGCTTTTGGAAAAAAAGGAAATTTTAAAATGTGTCCCAGTATGAACGGCACATGGGCATGTCCTTCTCTACTTTTTATCAAGAATTCTTTTTATAAAAACATGAAAATAAACTTGACTTTTTCCCTTCAAAGTAGATATTAATGAACTGTGAAATGGACGTCAGTGGGAAAAATGAGTTGAAATGAACAGATGAGTGTGGAAACGGCATAAACCGGGAGAGGGATGCGTTCGATGATTCAACAGTTCCAAATTCCTTACCTGGGAACTATCTGCTCCATGACATCATCCTTAGAATGAAGTAGATCAAAACCCAGATTTATTGCACTCTTTAAAAATAGCATTCAGTCATGAATGAAATAATTTTAAAGTTAATAAATGGTGAAATATAATTCTAAATTGTATGAGGTAAGATGTTTTCCTAAGCTGTTCTTTAACAATGCATTAAGTGCTATCAATTTTTGACCATAAGCAGTACTTGAGCAATAGAAAGTACTCAACATAAAACAGAAGTCACAGAGAGTGTGGCATTCCGACCGAACAGCAGAGTGACCCATTTAACTTGCGAATGCCTGATTTCCATCAAATAATGCTTTGCCAATTTTACACGCTGATTGGTTTGGTAATCATTTTAATTGGACTTCTTATGGCTTAGGAATATAAAACAGTTTAAATGATTTATGCCATCTTAATTATTACTTTGAAGTTAGATATTTGGAAGAAAATGTAAAAACGTTTTTAAAATCTCTTTTAAGTGCCTGCTATTGGCTATAGATGTTAATCCACTATTTTTCTACTTTATTTCTACAGCAAGGCAGCAATATTTTAAGCGTTTCTAGGCCAAGGTCAAGCACAGCTTTGCGAGGGGCCACACGGAGGAAAGGAATTAAAAGTCAAAAGGTATAACCTGCGACTCCAACCTTGAGAAGGTGTTCCTGGCGTAGTGCATGATGCTGTCGAAGTCGTAGCTCTCGCCGAGGGAGTTTACCTCCCCAGGCTCCATCTTCAGAAAGTTGTACTCTTGACCTGAGGACCAGGGATGAGAACGTCTCAGAAACGAGGACAGAACAGCCCCTCGCAGCCCTGCGTCTATCCTTAGCTAAGCGCCCGGTCTTCCTGCCGCAGTATCGTGTTTGCGTATTTGCACACTGACACCCAGCACGTGCGGAAGGCGGTCCCCACCCCCTACCACGCTGAAAGAGCAATATTGGGTTGGAACAAAGCGCCACGTCCAAACGTGGACTACCAGAGCACACTCTGGGCTTGTTTTCCTTGTAGACTCTTTTACCGCCTCACAATATCTGTTTCTTTAAAATCCTGCTGCTTTTTATGGTTAAAAAGAAACCAAACTTATGTTTTTATCTAATGAGTTTCCCACTTTTCTCTAATGACTACATTTTCCAGGTCCCACAAAAGTTATACGCCTGAAGCAACCATGTGAAAAAATACAAAAACAGTGTCAGAACAGACACAGCTCTGCGGGCTTTGGCCATGTGACTTCCTCTCTCAAGGTTCTCCTCGATAAAGAGAAGGTTTCATTTTGAGATCGAGAAGAATTATTTATTTATTTTTTTTTTACTTTCCACATCTGCTATTTTAACTTCTGGATGTCTTCAGTCATAATAGGTATTTCAACTGCCTGTTTGTATTGTAACACGTTTCTTGAAATATGACAAGAATACAGATTTAATTATGTAGGTCTACACCAACAGTTCCAGAAACAAAGCATTTCTTCAGATGGGGTTTATGTTCCGGTGACTCAGTTTTCACAATTTAAGCAGCCAAACGCAGTGCAAGTCCTGTCACTTATGTAACTTAGAAAGCTTTGAAACATCAAAAAATAAAGGCGAGCGACTTGAATCCCAAATTCATGCTTGGAGCTGAAAATGGAACTGCTATGCCACTCATCTAACGGGCTGCTTATTCCAGCCGCTGTACTTCGGTTAAATATATTATAAAAATGTCATATTAACAAAGGCTTTTCCAAAAAGCCACAGAAAGGAGCGATGCTACAGAAGATACTGTCTCCTCTGCATGTGATGAAGAAATCCAGTATCCTCGTTTGAGCATTAAGGATGAGAAGTTACAGAACTCAAGGCCCAAATTAAAGTGCTTTGGTCCATCTTGTAATGAATTCACACAATAAATAAATGTATATGTTAACCAGCCCTCACAGTGGGATGCGTGCCCTACGAATCTCTCATGTGTCTATGTCGTCACACCGTTCTGAGGAAACACACTGACAGAGACAGCTGCTAAACCTCTTGTCTTCATCAGGATTTTACGTAGGATACAATGTATCCAATTCAAGGTCAGATTTTCAAAAATCTATGGACCTGACTTTATAGTTATTAACCCATTAAGATTGCAATTTAGAGCATAATATGGGAGCAGATTCTCTAACCAAAGCAAAATATTCCATAAAAATTCCCCAAACCAGAGCATTAAGCAACTTCAGCAATACATTTCAACGCATGTCACTGAGCACTTAACATGCCCATGACACGATATTTTTTATCAGTTAAAAGGAACGTGGCCAATTATCCCAAGTGAAGTAACTCAGAATGGAAAACCAAATACTGCATGTTCTCGCTTAAAAGTGGGGTCTCAGCTACGGTGCGCAGGCCGCAAAACGGAGTCATGGATGCTGCGGACTGGGGGTGGGGAGTAGATGGGGTGAGGGGGGAGTTACCTATTGGGGTACAGTGTATGCTACTTGGGTAACACGTGCACTCACGAAAGGCCAAGACTCACCACCACACAATTCATCCATGTGACCAAAAACCACCTGTACCCCTAAATCTACTGAAACCAAAAAAATAAAAAAATGTAAAGAACATGGCCATACTAGTCCAAATAAAAGAAAATTCGGGGGACTTCATGAAGGGAGGGAAGAGAATCAGAGATACATAGCACCAAGGGAAACCACACTTCAGAATAAAAGAAATGACAAGCTCCTTCTTTGAAAGCCCATCCCAACATGGGTTAAAGTAATCCAATCCTTGTACCAATTTGGGTCCTGTCATCGTCACCTATTTTGCACATAAACGTGAAGCCAAAGTCTGCGCTTGCTGAACATCACCCTTGAACAACACTCGATCTCTAGTTTTCAAGTCACGGCGAGTCGTCAGTTTGTTGAAGGTTAATCTCCAACGTAAACGCTGGCGTGCTGGAATCGCCCTGCTCTAGAAGTGCCAATTACTCAGGAAATCTCACTAAATAAATATTCTTTCTACAGGCCTGAAGGTTTAGTCAAAAAGATACGAATAGCCATAATCTGCGTAGTACTGTTTTAGGATTATACATTTATTTATACTACGTATACACTTGCTCCTTCTTTTAGGAACGTACTTATGTTGAACCAGAATCCTATCTTTAAGAGTGAGAACCATTTTTGAAAGTTACATCCCATATAAATTTTTTTTGCCCACTGAATAAAATGTTTGGCAAACGGAGGAAACGAAATAACTGTGGTTAACAGAGCTCATTTGTTTGGTGGTTAGAGTAATTTTCAGAATTATTATTTCCTCTTTATCTCCCTTCTAATGACATCAAGCACAAGACGAGCCCTGACAATTGGTTCGGGCACTAGACTCGTCTACACAGCACGGCATAAACCTGCTTTGCTTCTTTTTGACATAACTCCGCAGATTACTTCATCATTTTGAAATGACTTCTTCCCGTGGCTTCTAGGACATCACGATGTCCCGCTACTTGTTCCCTTACCTCTCGGACGACACCTGCTCTGTCTCGGGAGATACTCTACTGAACGCTGTTTTCCGTTTTCTATCGTCAACATTTCTTTCTTCTCCCTCCAGCTTTCCCCTGGACAGTCGACTCTACACCACGCTTTTATCTTTAGGTACATCCTGAAGTCCAGACTCACCTCAGTGAGGCTCATCCCTGGGCTTTTCCATTCAAAGATATGCTAAATGAAATCACTGTTCTTCTCTTTCTCAGAAACACGCTACTTTATCAATATTCCAACATGTCGAATGTTTCATGTCATGGCGCCACCATGCATCTTCTTGCCGAAAGGTAAATCTTCTGAAGGTTTCACATCCCATGATGGTGTGCCCCTTAAAGTGGTTTTGAAAGACTATCTCCTCTCCTCCTGTTGATCGGCCAGACCCTGACTGAGAGCCCAGCCACCATCACTGCTTATCTGGGCTTCTCGTAAGTTTCTTCAACCTCAGGTGCCTCCTCCCCACACCTGGTTAGTGATTCCTGCAGCTGACGGACAGAGTTTTCTTCTTCTGCAATCTGAACTTTCTGTTTATAATCCTTTGATTATTCCCCAGTAGCTAGAGAATAAAACCTAAATTTCCCACATTTATATAGAATATTCTCTATGATCTAAACTCCCAGGTAATTCCCAGCTAAGCTGCTTGTGACTTACCATGCAATTGCATGGGCAGACAAAAATGATTCCATTTTCTTTAACTGTAGCTTTGAGCATGATGTTTTTTCAGCCTAGAAATTTCATCGCTCACCTGTCCATCTGGGACATTTCCACTTTTCCTCTAAATTTCAGTCTCTCTGTAGCATCTCCCTGGACCCAGCAGAGCACAAGTCGTCACGCTTTGCCTGGCCTCGGCAGTGTGCTCAGTATATGACTATTGTCACTCTCTGCGTCCACTGCAGCCATTCGTATGTCTGACAAACCCCACGCTAAGTGTGTGTCTTTCATGACAGTGTCTCCAAATCCTAATATTGCCTCAGTAAATAATAGGCACCACATATACGATGATCAGTGCTGTTAATTACAGAAGATTCTCAGGAATTCAATGTTTAAGTAAAACTGGCCATGAATAAGAAAATAAGAACACATTTTTGCTTTGCTTATGCTTAAAAAATAAACTTACAAGAAAATTCCAAACGAGATTTTTCTGTCCTACAACCGAAATGTACTTGATCTTTATGAATGTAGAAGTTAAACAAATAAAAAGCCTTACAATAAGGCTATTATCAAACATCAACTATTAGAGAAAATTAGACTTTAACTACAAATTACATTTCCATTACTGAAAACATTCTTAAGAATTTGTCTACAGTGTAGGCAAGTTTCAGAGGAAAAATCTCAAAAAACCGTTTAGACTATCCCGGAATGGCATTTTCTCCAGGAATTGCACCTGGCACCGACACAGACTCCTGTGGTGGCAGCAGGTCTCATGGCAAACCCTGGGCCCTTTTTAAATCCCTATAACATAAATTACAGAGAACTAAGTACAGAAAATGCTCATGTAAAAAAGAAAGATTTAATAATACTAATTCATGGTTCAATAGCTCTCACCCTTCTTGGAAAGCACAGACATTTAGAAATAAAACAGCTAAATCTTAAAAGAGAAAGAAAGTCTAAAAAACACATGCCATCATTCAGTCTCTAGGAAAGAAATTTAAAATATAAAATCGTCATGGGTAATTTTCATTCAAGCAAAATGTTGATTCTACCATACCGAAAAATAAGTTTACATTTTTTTAAAGTTAGACGGTAAGTTGCATAAGTACAGTCCCAGGATGTTCAGTCAGCCTTAAACCCACACGAGCCACACCTCTCACCTGGCTGGATGTTTTCCCTGATGATGGTCACGTGGTTGTCCCGGTCCGGCCGCGTGTGTTCATGCCAAAAGCCTATCACATGGCCCAGTTCGTGAACAACGATTCCAAATTTGTCACAGTTCTTGCCGATGGAGATGGCCTGAGGCCCGTTCCCCCGCCGACCTACGTAGGAGCAGCACCTGGAACAAGGCAGAACGTGGAGCTGCTGTTGGAAAGGGTGACGCGGGGCGAGCCGCAACCTAGCAAAGAATTATGGTGACCGACACAGGCCAACCTCTCCGGAGGCAGAATAGCCCTTCTTTAATAAATGTGGCTAATTTCTGGTATCCGTTTAAACTTACGCACAACGAAAGGTTCCAAATAATCAGTTCAAGTGCTTTTGCAATTATCTATACATTAGAAGACATGTCCTAAATCAATTTTGGAGGTATTAAGAAGAAACATCAGAAAATAAGATAATTATGATGACGACTAATGTGCTATTAGTTAAGACATTAACAATATACAGAAGTGTAATATATCAACATACATTTACTTGTAATATAAACTTTATCCTCACAATTCCTGTTAATTATTTAGGTAACTGTCAGTGTGATCATCTGGAAATAATCCAATATTATTTCAGTATTAAATGTGAAAATAAAGCTTATTTTTCTCTTTGAAAAAACAGAATTAAATACATTCATGAAAGATGCTGGCTAATCATAAAAGATGTTATTTTTCCTACTCACAGAAGAATTGTTTTTCACAAAAGGAGAAAAATTTTAAGAGACGTTAATCAAAGAAAATTATTTTCGAAAGGTGGATGACCCGGGGCTAACGGTTAACTGGTGCTGGAGACTGAACGTCTACAGGCCCCAAGTTCTTCCTTTGGAAGCCGAAGCCCTGAGCTGACGCGTCTGGAGGTGACGGGGCCTTTGGGGGCTCTGCCTCGCGGATGGCGTCACTGTCAGCACACTTACGAAGGGGGCGCCTTCCCTGGGGGGTCAAGGCCCCTCCGTCCTCCACCCTGTGCAGACGCAGCACGAGCTCCTCTCACGTCCGCCCGCGCGCCGGGGCCGGCCAGACCCGAAGCGCTGTGCCTGCACGACTGCGGGAAACCAACGTCGGCTGTTCGCGCGCTGCAGCCCACGATGCCCTGTCACGGCTGCACAGCAGGAGGGAACGTCGGCGACGCGTCATAGTTCAAAGAATCATGAGACTCATGTGATTTGTGCCACATGGTCTGCTGATGACTCGGTGTGATTTTTATTTCACCCTCTGAAAGACTCGTGGACCGGCCAGCCCCGTGTGAAACATCCGGGAGTATCTTTCTGCAAACTCTCGCCAATTCGTCGATACACACACATATCCAGCGATGCTTTTCTGTCGGAATACAGACGTCCCATCCAATCATTTTGCGTGTGTGCGCGCATGTGTGTGCGTGCGTGTGTGTGTGTGTGTGTGTGTGAGACCATTCAGAAGATTCTCGGACACACACAGGAAAGCGTGAACACAAGGACACCCGTTTTGAAATAAACTTTAAATGGTATAATAGTATAGTTGCTAAAATTATAAATACAGGTGATGTTACATCTAATAATTTGATAATTAGGGCTTAAATTAAAACAGCTTGTCCTCAGGATAGCAATAGAGACCCTAAAATAATTGGCCTCAAACATGAGAATCACAGGGCCCCAGACAAGGCAAATACCTTTCCTGACTCACTAAATTGGAAGAGAAAATTGCCAAAATTAATTACTCAAGTGATTAAAAGTAACTCACTATTTCCATTTCCAGGGTAAGTCTATCGGACAGTGCTCAAGAGTTTCCACAAATATAATTCTCGTCTCCCTCCCTCCCGCCCACCCTTTTCCCCAAATTGTCCCACAGTCTTTAAATGCTTAAGCATTTTAACCCATACTCCGCCAGTCAGATAAACTAATTCGTACTCACTATTTATGAATCTGTTTAATTAAACTGTGTAAATCAGCAACAGAAAGAAGAAAGAGGTAATTGGTGGGGGGGGGTGGGAGGGGAGTGAATTGTGTTTTTGCCCCCAGGTAGTTCATTTTTTTAAATACTATCGTTTAATCCATACCCAGACACTTATTATACACTCCAATAGTTATTTACTACATACCCAAAAAGTATCAGGTGCAGAAAAATATAAAATTTGCTAATTTAGGGGAGATTGAACATGAAATATTTGCTACTTTGAATCACTAGTAATGAAACAGAAATATCAGATAATTACATAGCAACTAAATTGCCCACACTGACTCATTTTTGCTGGTTGTATTCAGAGAAGAAAGTACTGTGGAAATCAAAGTCTGGGAGACAGCAAAGCAATGTGGTCAATTTCTTTAATCTAAAACACCATTTTTAGCATAATTGTACCCATAGCAATTTCCTATGAAATAGGGTTTCATAATGGAAAGGAAAAATAGACTCCACGTTGCCTTATTCATGGAGCTGTTATTTTACAATGTCCTGCGAAAGAAGAAAAATGTTCTGGTCCCTGAGTAACCGAAGGTCTTGGGGACAGAAGGATTCTAGACTCTCAAATTAAAGAATAATTATAGATGTGCTCAGATTAATATTCGGTACGGAATGCCAGGGCAGCACCATTTATAAAACTTGATTGAAACATGATGAGATGTTATCTTAGTTTGATGCTATTTCCTGTATACGGCTAATCGATTTTTGTTTCTGATTTGTCTGCCCCTTTGAAAGCGTGGCCAGCATAGGGTCTATCTGCTCTCTCAGGAAATCTTCACCTCCTGTGTAAGAAAGCCCTGCGGTCCCTAAATCACAGAGGTCCTCACTTTCTCCTGGGCTGGGAGACCCAACAAACCTCCGGAAATTTCCCTGAGTTGGAACTGTTCTACCTTTACATTTGGCTGTATTTAAATACTTCCAATTATTTAGGTTAATCACCGTGTGCTTTTTCACTAAAATGACTCAATTCCTGTTTTGAGTTTTTTATAAGAAACTCTTTAAAAGCGGCCATTAACATTTAAATGTCGCCGCTGGACTATAAAATACAGGAGGACAGGGACCTCTGCCTCTTGGTCGCTGCAGCCCCACTCAGAGCAGGCTGTTTGCTATGGTGGGCTTCACTACCCGGCCCCTTTCTTGCCCTGGACACTTGGATAAATGATAAACATTAATATCTGAGTTTAATTTGTCCCCGATCTTCTCCTCCAGAAAACCTGCCCCCCCGCAGACTCCCCTCCCAGTTAATGGCGGCTCGAGCGTCCCAGTTCCTGGGGCAAACGGCTCCAGTCTCCCTGGACCCCTTCTCTGCAGCAGTTTCGATCTATCCCAGCATCAATCCACTCCTCGGCTCCCACTGCTGGCCCAGGCCACCGCCTGTCTCCTGGATTGTCGGAACAATCTGCCAGCCGTCTCCGGCTCTGTCTGTGCTCCTCAGCAGTCTCTTCTCAGCGCGGGGCTAATTTCTAAATCTAAGGTCGGATTATGCCTCCTCCCTGCTCCAGTTCTCCGGTGGCCCTGCAGCAAATCAGGTCAGTGTTCAAGCACGTCCCTTACCTTTTTCTAGCAGATAACTGCACTCCCCTGCCCCATGAACACGGGGTCTGGTCCCATGACTTGCTCTGGACAATGTCACAGAAGCACAAACAGTGACAATTTTGGAAAGAATCTAAAAGGCAACACGTGATGGCCACACCATCTCACTCCACCTGCACGAGAACTAGCAGGCTCCGGGGGGGCTTCTCCGGGAGGCTGGACAGCAGAGCCAGCTGCCACCCAGGACGACACGCGGGTGAGTGAGGGACAGTGCTTGCTGCTCTGCGCCCGAGTCCTGGGGTCAGCTGCTCCAACATTCCCGCCACCTTTTTGTATAAAAACTTGCCATAAAGAAACTATCTGACCTGCCTTGCTTGACCGTAGGTCATAAGATCCCCATCCCAGAGGGCCCTGCCCGCCCCCAGAGGAAGGACGCTGCTCAGACAGGCCAAGAGGAGTCTAGACAGACAGGCCTGCCTCGGTTTCCCCACTTGGTCTGTCAGAGTTAGAACACACCCTTCTTGTCTGGTCACATTTCTACACGGCTGCCCGCACTTTGTCGAACCTGAGCATAAAAACGGACTTTTCCTGCATCTTTTGGTCTTCATTCTGAAAGCTTAAATTAAATATTTAATAATACACATATTTAATGTGTATGCACAGTAAATAAATTTGCATGCCTTTACTCCAATTAATCTGCACCTTTTCAGTGATTTTCGGTGACTCTTCAGAAGTTCAAGAGGGTCCCCCCAGCCCGTATACAAGCATGTACACATACATACAAACATACGTGTCGATAAACATAAACATACATGTCCGGTTATAATAGAATTTAAAAACAAGAAATTCACTGGAGCTAAATGTTCTGACCTCTACCTTTTGCTTATTATATTTTCCTACCTACTAAAGGCCCGACATGGAAAAGGGGCCAATAAATATTAACTGAATAAAAGCAGATTAATGTGGGAAATACAATATTCTAAAACACGCAAGTGGTTCCATATTTAATACTTCCTCCCACAAATATGAAAATTATTTTAGCTCTTATTCTAAAAGATTACAAGAGCTACAAGTTGCCTAAGTCAGTGGGTAAGCTCGATAGAAGTAAAAAAAGTGATATTAAATGGAAAGAAGTGTTCCCCACCAGATTAAAGTTAGAAACAGAACTGATCTAGCTGCCATCGGTACCGACCTTGCAGGTTGTGCATATTTGACGGAGAGTTACACCAGATACTGTAAAACGCTACACGGTCACTGACACAGCTCTTAGGGGTAAACGATCCAACACTGAAGTCCAATAGAGCGTTAAGTGTTCGACCTGACAAATATCTTATTCTAGTTGACCTTAAGCATTTTGTGCAATATCAGCTTCCAAACTCTTTAATAATTTACAAGCCTTTTCAGGAGATGTAAGTACAGCATTATCATAGAAAAAAATAATGAAATAACTGTTTTATGAAATCGTGGTCGATAACGGTAATTCTAAATGAAATTAACAAGTCACAATAGAATTAGAATGATTAGCGGGCCAGTGATCAACTCCTATACAAGGCATCCTCCTTTCTATCACTGAAAAAATAATACAAGCAACCTTGGAACTGTAAAATAAGGACCAAAACAAATCACCAAATTGCAACATCACTACTATAAGAGTCAGAAATGCATGTGCACATTAATGCTCCAGGGTCTAACTGTAGGGGTGCACCTACAGATTTAAGTATCTTGGGGCAAGTCACAACTTCAGTTTTCACATCTCTGACATAACTGAAGTACATGTTCTTCACTGTCCCTTTAAATTCTTACATCCTTTTCACATAAAAGACAACGTCTTACATTCTTTTGCTGCATGTACAGATTATCACAATGTGCAGAGATGACGTGTAAACGATCGATACCTTCTCGATCGCCTGCATGTAGACCAGGGCTCTGGGTGTCACGAGGGACACGGCGGTAAGTGACCGCCCCCAGCACTGGGGAAGACAGAATTTAAACGGCTGTGGGAGCGTAACTGTTACGGTCATGGGTAGAGCAAGCTCCCACTGTGGGCAGCTCAGAAATGCATGAGCAGGAGGAGGCGGAAGAGACCCACTGATGAGCAGGAAGGCATCCAAGCGGCAAAGATATCGTGAGCAAGAACATGAGACACGGTAGCGAATGGAAAAAGAATAATTAGGGAGGATAAAACAAGCAAAGTGGAAAACTTTGAAAATGAAGGAAGTTAGTATAAATACAAATTTACTGCAAACAGAAATTGAGCAATAAAATAATACGTGATCAATGCTTTGGATGTGTTTGTGTTTCAGAACTGAAAGGTGAGAAGGAGGAAAAGACGTATTGATTGGAATACATTACGTGTTCAGAAATATGTAAGCTGAGCTGCATCCATCACTATTAGTCAGCCAGAAGGGAGGAAGGATAGTCTAGATTTGGACCTTTTAAATATTAAATAGATATAAAGAATTAGGAGGCATTTTAAATGTAACCAAAACTTATCAAGCCAAATTTAGAGTAATTTAGAAGGAAACATTGCTTAATAAGTCATGACTAAAAATCTGTGGCACTACCCAAAAATATCTAGAAAAGTAATGATATGTATTTTTTCTTAATGTCACTTGGACAGGGCTAAAATTAAAATACATGACTTTAAGTCAAATTAAGTGTTCTAAGAAATTATGGTAAAACAAAGATGATACAATGCTCCCCCTCCAAGATCTACTGAAAGTATATATGTTTCCCCAAAAAAGTACATGTCATTAGGGCAAGAATTATTTTCTCCTAAAGAATTAAGCATTTATTTTGACTTCTTTTTATGATCTGCACTATGGGGTATTCAAATAGCTGTAGCACCTTAGAGAAAATTCTTTGTTTATAGAAGAATGCCAGATAATAAATGTAGAAGGAATTTTAGAGAGAACAGCATTAGAAAATCGCTATTTTGAAATGATGGGGACATTTACTTGGCTGCCACCACTTGAATGCACCGATCACTCGCTGAAGTGGTCACGCAAGGGCAGGTCCGGGCACACCTGCCTCCAGGCGTGTTGCGGCGTAAGCAGGCAGCGCACCCTGCCAAGTGTGCTCAGCAAGAAAAGTGAAGCTGAATCCAATCACATCTTCAGATATAAACTCCACTTAAGTGGAAATACAGGGGAGAGAAGTTTGAAAACTTCTACAATGACGTCTTCTGACGTATGCAATATAGCTTGGAGAGCTGCTATCCCCGTGTCTCGGCTGGTCATGGGCTTTCTGGGGAGACGTGGGGGCTGCAACGGAAGCCACGCTAAGTCCAGGGCGTCCCTCGGACGTGAGATCAAGGACTCTGGGCCTTATTCTCAGGCCGGCATTTCCCAAAACGTTCCAGGATATTGATGCAAAAGGGAGGGGTGGGTGTTCCTTTTTTTAATAAGCTTAGAAAACATATTTCTTTCAGTTAATTGAATATTAATAAGGTTCATTAGCACATCGCTGTAGAAATACCTCCTGAAATTTAATGCAGCATCTTCACAACGTAAAGAATATTTTCTTCTTTTGGAGAAAGTATCTGTCACCGCCCTGTCCGAAGCAGGTCTGGAAAACACCCCTGTGGGAGGGAGCTGCGGGGCTCTCGGAAAGCTGGTGCCTTGCTCCGGCAGTGTTTCCAGGAGACGACTGCAGGGAGAGGGGACTGGCGGGGTCCGACAGGAGGAGACAGAACAGGCCAGGTGTGCGCCGACGGGGACGCTACTGAACTAAGGCCCTGGCTCGGGACGGAGGCGGAAACCCAGAGGCTCACGGTGACTAGCGACAGACACGCACTTCGCGGACCTGCGAAGCAGCACGACGGGACAACAGACGGCAGCGCCGAAGCGCCTGACTCAGGAGGAGGGAGGCTGGCGACGCCGAGGTCGCAGCGAAGCGCTGGGGCAGCGGGGCGGCGCGCTCGCGGTGGACGCACCGACGTGGCGGTCAGAGCGTACACACACGACACGCAACACTCTCTTCCCCAAAATTCAGCCTTTCCGTGAACAAAACACTAAGCAAATGACTCCTATCCATGGAGTTTTAATCTTTTTCCTTCTACACGTAACTAGAGTCATTCCCTGGTCCCACTTACCCACAGGGCCTGTAGGTGAACACGATGTAGCTCTCCTCGTCACCCCTCTCGATGAACGTCACGCACGTGTGCTTCTCCCAGTGTCGCATGGCCTGCTTGAACATGGCTCGCTGACTGCCTGGAAAAGACGCCTGACGTTAGTCACACAAGGGCCGCCCGGGAGCAGCGCTTCTCAGGGGTCCCCGTCCCGGGTCTGGCTGGGAGCTCGGAAGGCCACCGCTGTCACCAGCTAGAGCACACCGTCCGCGGCACCACAGGCGGGTCGCTGCAAAGAACACACACCCGCTTCATAGCCAGGAGGCCGAGGCGCCTGTCTCTACGAACACGCGGGGACGGGCTCTGGGAGTCGCACGCGTTGCTCCCGCCGGGTGGCGGCAGATGGGCTTCCAGACGCAGATATGATGCGCACATTTGAAACTCGGTTCAGAAACCAGAACAGGCCCTTAGGCCCTTAGAACACAAGACTAAGTGTATTTTTTTGTTTCAAAGACATTCTAAACTAACAACCTAGGTTAATGGAGTATTTTTCCAAGTTCGATTTAACGTTGTTATATAGAATATTAATATTCTGTAAAAATACACACTTGACCTGCACGATAGTGTTTATGTCTTTATCCAGCCAGACACTCTGGGAGAATCTCACCGGTGAAGTTGCCTCCTATGACATACGGGATGACGCCTCCAGGCCACACTCTCTCCGTCCGTGACGTGGCAGCTCTGGGAACTCGGTTTTTCTCGCTTTGCCCTGAGAGCGGGAGAGGGGCTTTTCCCTTAACGGTGCTGTTTTGCTCCGAGCCTGCAGGGACATTTAGAACATTCTGTGAAACAGAAGTTCTTGGTCAGGGCGTCATTTACCTCTTAAAGGACAGAATTTGAAATGTCTTCTTTACATATGTGTATAAATGTGCCTGAAGTCAAAATGCATTAAAGGAAATCTTCAGTTATGTTACATACTTGAAAAAAAGCCTTAAAATATTTGAATATCTTGTGTCAAAATACTATTTCTTCATGCTCTGCAGGCGAATTTTGATGAATTTCCACAACAGCCTAAAGCAGATAGAATTCAGGCATGCTTAGAGACCACAGAAAAATTGTTTTATGTTTTCTAACTTACTAGCTCACTACCAACTTACCAATGGATGATAAAACAGATACTGTCTAATACAGTCCCATGATATTCAAGACTCTTCTTACTCCTGCCAACTCCGTAATCCTTTAAATCAGAATCGATGTTCCGCAGTACAGCCTAAAATCTCGAATGTTACACTGTACAGGTAAACAAAATAACTACGAGGGATGTGGTCTAGGTCACCGGGACACCAGGCCATCTCCATCCCAGCCTCCTCTCGAGCACATCAAGGTGTGTGCGGCGATCTGGAAGCCAGTGCACGACATCAACAGGCAACACGGAACGGAGTCTGTTCCAGAGCTGCTTTCGAGTTCGGAGTCTTTTACTTTTCCTGGCAACCTTTCATAACATTTTTGCTACTGTTTTTCCTAAATTTGCATGGCTATTCTTTCTTATTCATGTATCACTGTCAGCACAAATTTCCTGCCACTAGTACTGACGTAGACACAGCAAACATTAAATGTCTCAACCCTGTGTCTGCGTCCCTGGTGTGCATCTTCTCAATACCCTGAAGCGAAGCACCTTTGCTTGGGAAATTATTCCTTGAAGGGACGTACCGTGAGTATTTAATTAATAAGCCATTGAGTCAAGAAATGTTAGGATATGAGCTATGAATTGAGGAATTTAAAAAAAAATCTAAAATCTACAAATAGTTGTTAACAAATTCAATACTATAAGTATTAACTAATTATGAAACCAGAGGCAGTTTTTCTGAATGTTTATATACATATATATATCAAAAATATTTTTTGAATGGTCAAAAACATTTTAACTATTTTTTAATCTAATAAATCAGTTTATCAATTTAATTTAAGTGGATTTCATTTCAAAACAAACACCATATTTTTTCATTTGATTAAAACTGATGTAGTTCCAGGGTTTATAAAAATACCTTGGGGCATGACACCACATTAACTGGAAGTATCAACAATAAAATAAATACCTGATGAATTTTTAATAAGGAGAATCCTAAGTTAAAGGAACATTTCAAACTATTCCAAGTTCTAAAAAACTTACATCAATATGATCTAACAAAATACAAATTTCTCAGCATATATCCTTTAAATACTTCACATCATAACGGCACACTGATTTTAATAAACCGAACTGCTGTGAGCATAGTATTTACTGCACATCAAGTCAAGCATCTGCAACTTTCAACACTGATATACCGGAGCCAATTCTTCTTATCCTGTCTATGAGCTGGTAGAGGGCTCCTCGCTTCTTTGACATACCATGGTCTCCAAGTCCACCTTAAAGAATAAAAGAAAACAATTAAGTTAAAGCCCATTAAAATTCTTGCAAATAAACCACAGTACAAGGCTACGTTGATTTCTCTTTGGACGTATTTTTTATGTGGTCTTAAATCATGAGAGTTACGAGTATCTGTGAATCCCTTAAGAGGGTAAAAATTCTTCCACGACCAATGTTGGAAACTAAAAACGAGGGTTGGGGGAGACTCGAGAGCCATCCACATGACTTTATTTGGGCATGACGGCAGTTGAGTCACGTATTGATAATCTGAGACATTTTTCTTCGCTGTGACCTTGACGTCCACAGTGTTGCGCAGGACGACAGCAAGATGCTCTGCCCCGCTGACTGCATCCAGCTAGTTTCCCAGCGCAAACTGGGTATTTTCAGATGCCAAATCAGCAAATGGAAACAAAAACATCAGAAGAGCAAATGTGTACAGCGAGTTTTGCTCCAAAGCTTCCATCAATTTTGAAAACTTTTTAAAAGCATATCATATTTTATACTAGATTCAACTAAATCTGGGAAATTAGTCTCTCTAGTTTATAAAAACCAGTAACACATAATTAGAAAAAAGCCACAAGGTAAAACTCCAAATGAATGTTCAGCCACAAAATATATTCTGTTACACGATGTAACTTGAAAAGTTTATAAAAATAGAGCGTAAAGAATTTCACGGTGCAAAAAGAGCAGGAAGGATAGGAATAAGGAAAATGTCTCCTTGCAACTTTGCCAGCAAAGGCTGGAGAAGGTGCGGAAGGCCAGCACTCGGCGAAAATTCAGTCCCCTGACTCCATCCCAGGGCTCTCTGTGAAATGCTGCTCCCAATTTTGTCCAATTTTGTCCCCCATTCTCTCTTTCTTGAATGTTCTTAGTCAATAAGAAAGTGGCACCCAGAGCAAACAGCCAATATAACCACTCAGGACATCAGAACAAGTGCTGATGCATTTGCACCACTGCAAATGCCTATGGTTCAGTCTTTGAGCTGAGCCAGTAAAGACAGACAAAAAGCCACAAAGACCACAGACTATCGTCAGATCCCTTGAACTATTTCTTTCCAACATCTATTTTCCCTTTAAAATTAATACTGAAGCTTAATTACCTAGACTGAAACAAAAACAGTAATAAAACCTATTGCCATATAAGCCTCTTAAAAGAAAAATCAAGTCAGTCCTTATAAGGCAAATAAGTTAGAGCGCTTGTTCACTGATAATAATCTGCTTAATTATTTGCATTGTATGGTCACATTTTTGCTGTGCGTCTTGAGAAAACTTTTTGAAATTTTTTCATTGAACATTTTAGAAAGATGAGGTAATACTTAAATATATTCATTCCTAAGGAGTTACAAGAAACATTTTTAAAGTGTGGCATTTATATGCATGAAATGACCATTATGTAGCAACTATATTTACATTAAATAGGCCAGAAACACATCTGAGTAGATTTATAAGGTGGCTAATTATGAGATAAAAGGAATGTCTTTATTAATATTAAGGTAATTTAAGGATATAGTAATTATAAAATTGGGAAAACAATGTTTCTAAACTATCAAAGGCAATATGTTTTTTAAAATATTTTCAGTAAATGTGAATAATCTTATAGCAATTGAAATAAAATGCCATGTAGGTAGTTCATTGGAATAGAAAAAAGGGAAAGTGGTTATATATTTCTCACCATTTATAACACCATGAAAATACACAAATTAACTAAATATTATAGCAAAGATTATACATTTTGAAATTAGGAAATGAGAAATATAGTTAAATCAGTACAAACAAGAAACATAAAACATAGACAAAAATATAAGATACTTTTACATTGTCTGAAATTCAACTGAGTAGTGCAAGTTGCTATTGAACTTTCAAACGTGTACTTTTCCCATAAACATTTAGAATAAATGCTTTTATCATACAATCTGTTTTATTCTGTGTATCTGAAATAACATATTTTTCTTCCAACTATTACTATCTCAGAGTTTAACAATACCTACTTGCTCACACTAATCAATCAAAAGCGAGTCAGTAAAGAGTGAATTTATTACACATCTACAAAGAACAGATTCTAGTCTCATGGTTTAAGG